AGACAGACAGACAGACAGACAGACAGACAGACAGACAGACAGACAGACAGACAGAGACAGAGATGTGTATGTCTTAAACATGGTTATTAAAATGTAAACAATACGCAGGGTAGGAAATGGGAGGTGGCTGTTTGTACAGGTGATTGTTTTATACAGGTGTCCATTTGTACAGGTAATTGTCTTATAAAAGTGGCCGTTTGTACAGGTGATTGTCTTTTACAGGTGACCGTTAGAGCAGGCGATTGTCATATACAAATGGTCGTTTAACGCAGGAGATTGTCTTATACAAGTGGGCGTTTGTACCGGTGATTGTCTTATACAAGTGGTCGTTTGTACAGGTGATTGTCTTATACAAGTGGTCTTTTGTACAGGTGATTGTCTTATACAAGTGGTCGTTTGTACAGGTGATTGTCTTATAAAAGCGGCCGTTTGTACAAATGATTGTCTTATACAGGTGGTCGTTTGTACAGGTGATTGCCTTATAAAAATGGCCGTTTGTACAGGTGATTGTCTTATTAAAAATTATAAAAGTAGCTGTTTGCTCAGATGATTGTCTTATGCAGGTGGCCGTTAGAGCAGGTTCGACTATAATATACACACAGCAATACAGCGATCTCCTTTTAAAGTTTATATAGGCCTACGTACCTTTGATCTAAAAAAACAAGAACAAAACCCAAACAACAACAGCACTACATTTCTTCTGAGATGGGTTTTACATTTCTGCAGGTAAAAAGCGATGCCGGATAATAAGGGTTTCTGGCTCAATTTGCTGGCAGTCTAGCCCACTGAGGGTCGGTTTTCAATGATTAATAGACTGTAAACAGATGCATAATATGTCGAGTAGACTGGGGTAGGTTTTCAATGATTAATAGACTCTAAACAGACAAAGATGTCGGGAGAAAGGGGATCAATTTCCTCATGGAGACGGTCAAATATTGACAGAGATTGCAGATTTCAACGTCACTATGGGGGGAGGGGGGGTAGGAGACGTTGAGTGATTTTGTGTGCGTGTGTGTGTGTGTGTGTGTGTGTGTGTGTGTTTTGTATGTGTGTGTATGAGTGTGTATGTGTGTGTGTGTGAGT